TCTTGCTGGGTATAGGGTTTGCTTGTTGGTAGCACTGAGTGTGCCATCCTGATGAACAGATGTTGAGGGTTCCTAGTGATTTACACTGTGCAAGGTTCTTGCAACTCATTTTATAGGTTGGGTCACCGGTAAGAGTTTATAATGCCGAGCAGGGCAGGGCCCTTTCTTGGTAGCAGCATTACTTGGATTTACTGCTGAAGCAGGTGCTCTTGGAGGCAACCAGCTCGTGCGTCAATAAATTTCCAGTGTTGGTCCAAGCCTGGATCTGTAAGGTGTCGCTTGTCTAGGGCTTGTCCCTCTACCAAGTTCTACGATCAAATTGATTACGCACAGTTTGTTGTAGTGTCTTAAGATTTGCTGAAACCATCATTCTTTTCATCGTTGAAGTCCTGACAGTCAGGGTGCTTTATTTGTAAAATGCTGTCATCCATTGGCACTGTTGATTACATTTTATTTGAAAGGTGCTTACAAAATTTCTGTTATTTAATTTGTCGCCCTTTGCGACTTAGCCATACCCCTTAGACCCCCCTGTGAATGTTTGTAGTTCTGAGGTTTGTCTCAGACTTTGTACATTTTGCTTCCTTTTTTCGTATATCCTGTATCTGGATAATTTTCGCGAGCTGCATTGAGTTCAACACAATTCTACTGTGATAAGGCAAAAGAAATCAAAACTGATCTTGACGTCAGTCGATGTTCGTGTCGTGGTCTTGACCGTGTGCTCACGCTTGTATGTAGATTGTACAAAAGTAGAATCTTTGTGCATCTCATGGGACGCCTGCTACCTGGGTTTTTGTGTTTTGAGTCGTTGCATTTTTTTTCAGGCATGGGCAGTAGAACGAGTACATGGTTGGATGCAGGAAGTTCACCAGGCTAAAAACATTGTAGAAAAACCTTGTGACCGGAATTTGACTTGTATGAGACGGTGATTTACTCAAGTCGCCTATGCCTGTATGTGAACCTACTAGTTTGTACGACTAGATGCGGCGTAGTGAGCTGTACAGTTGATTAGCAGGAAGGCTTGTGTGTAAATATTCGAGTACAAGGCTTGTAGAAAATAAGATAGCATTGTATTGCTTGTAAATAGTATATGTATTTATATCTAGCGTCCAGACATGCTGCCTGCTTTACTTTATTTTGGGCCCATCTGTTGAACAATCTTATGGAAAACTATGCAAATTGGAGTATATCTGTATCAAATGTAGCAGCATTGAAATTTACGAGCTGTAAATATAACTAGTACTTGAGAGAAAAAAAAAAGAGAAACTTTCAGGGAAAAATTGGGGGCTGCAATTTTGATTATAACAGGAAGAGAGCTGTAAAGAAATGTGCGTATGCGATCTGCCCTGTAAAAATTAGTCCAACATCTATCCAAATTTGGATTTGTAGGTTTTCATTCCATGTGGATAACTTGACTGGACAAATGGATAAAAAGAAACTTTGTACACAGAAGTTCCTGTATAGCATTTCTGTTTTTCACATACATGTGTTATGCACGCAAAGCTACACCTTGTCTGTTACAAAGCATTTCGGTTCAATTGATCAAAATTTGGTAGAGTTGGCGTGGAAGGTTTTTTATTCTGGCTTTTTGTATTTATTTCAATAACAATATAAAACTCGGCCTTTTGAGTTTTCCCTTCCTTAGTTTGAAGTAGAAAAGTCAACTGAACAATTTTGCAATATGCACACATCTACTGGTATACCAGGACTTGATTCAGTGTTCCTTTTGAACACTGCAATGTCTGTCAGCTGTGAAATGTGCTACTTCTATTTCATTACCGGTACTGCCACTGTACTCGTAGTGTTCCATACACCGATGGCAGCGGTCAGAAATTGCTTTACCTAGTTCAACATGCTAGTTTTAAGTTGTCATACCACGACAACGAGGAGGCCACGTGGTAAATCTGTTGCATGATGTTGGCATGTGTTGCAGCAACGCCTTGGTATAAAGTTTGACTGCTCGGTGGCAGGCAATGTTATATTAATCAGGTCAAATTCAACATAGTTTTTGAGTAATCTACTATACTTTGTTCGTGTACATATCTTTTGTATTAGTAATAAAAGGGATTACCCTTTAACTTTCTCACAAGAACACTGCAATGTCGGCAACCGTATATCTGTAGATTGTGCATTATTATTTATTTGGAATGAGGATGCTTATTTTTCAAGTGAGGCTTTTGTTGGATTTCAGGCATATTTGGCCCGTTTCCATAAAATCTGGAGAATTTTTGACTTCCCAGATATTCAGATGAAATCACCATTGATATAACTGCTCACTAGTTAGTACGCAGTCAATAATACAGGTGATCTTTAGCCTGTATCTGAATGCATTGTGTTACCCAGAAAAAAAAGGAATTCTGAGACCATTTTGACATTCGAAATTGAAGCAACTTTGGACTTTTTGCCACTACCAAATTACACCTGGGCACACCTGTTCGGCCGGAACCAGCCACCAGCTTGGAGCTGCCATTGATGTGTATGTTTTTCTCAGCCTTTGAAGTAGTTTGGAAATGATCTATGTTTTTATACGAGGAATCCTGTCAGTTGTTTTCAAGTCGCCTGTACATTGGAAAGCCAGGGCGAAAGTACTTGCTCACCGTGGAAACTAACAAGCTTGCCTATGGTAGCCACCAGCCAGTGGCTTCACGCATTTACCATAGACGCATGTGTCATTTTATAGCCGTAGGAAGGTCAATTTCGGCACAGCCAATAGTCTGTGCTGCTGAAGTTGGGTTTTTATTTACACAAGTGCCTTCTTGTACAACTTGATTTTGACATCAAAAATCGTTCCATGTTTTTCTCTAGAAATTTAAATTTGATGAATAAATTATTTCCATCTTCTTTTTGCAAATGTTTCTTAGCAAGAAGCATGTCTGATTTTGTGAGACGACAAAGGACTGCTTTTGTATGGCCAATTCCCAATACTTTCCTCAAACAAATTGTTTCTGCCAATGAAATGTGCCACTGCTCTGGTACAACAAATGAGATAACAGCATCTTTTTTTCTGGTTTAAATTTATTGAGGCGCAATTTTGGTGTAATTTCACAATCCACAAAGCTGAAAATGTAAAACAAGCTGCCAGTCCATCTGAATTTACGCATGTCGACCCCTGACCTCTGCTATTAACCTAGTTACAAACCTTCAATAATTGGAATAAGCTTTAAAAAAAGAGAGAAATGTGAGAATGGTCAACTATAAAGAAATTGTTTAAATCAGATACATAAAATTGTTCAAATCAAATACACGTACAAGTAGATGACTTCTTCGTCCAATCTTTTTCCGGAGTGATATCAACATAAGGCCCACAATCTTGCCCCGCTTTTGTTGACAAACTATTCCTAATTCAACATGATAGATGAACACCCACAACAGCAAAGAAAGAAATAATTCAGCCAAGATATAATTAAACCAGGAATGTATCCACCTGTTTTGGGGTCTTTTGTTTTCTCTGAAAGACCTCAAGATCAGGGAGAGTCGTGCGTCGCATTTTAAAACTCTTCTGTACGTTTACTATTCACAATGACTGTTACTAACCTCACTGAATACTAAGAGCAATTTTCAAGACTGGTCTTAAATTTAAAGCTTCAATTCGACCTGACGTTTGTGCAAATAAGAAACAAACTTACCAATTGCTGACCACACTCCAAGTTATGTCATACAAAATGCATGTGTTTGCATGTGCTACTGCCATTTTGTATTTCGTAGTTTTAAACAATTTTAAAACTCACATCATTTGGTTTGTTTAAATGCAGGGATGCCAGCCAGATACTTGTCCACAGCCTGAAATGAAGGCTGGAGGAGCCTAGAAATCGATTAGGGCCAGAAATTGCCTCAACATTTCAATTTTGGGATGCCTGAAAACTGGCATCCCTGTAAATGTTTCATTTGTATTTCTCTGAACAACCCCACACCTTTTATCTAACCCACTACATGCACAGAATGAGTTGGATACTTTCAGTCTCATTTGAATAATATATATATAATAGTGTGCTGTAATTTCTTGATTAACAGAATGTAGAGTTTTGAAAAGATTATCCATGCAATTTTCGGGAGAAAAATTTACAATGCCATTGTTACGATCATTAAGCAAACCCAACTTTTTTTTTCCTGATAAAGACAGTTGAACCTTCTCACATTATCCTGCGTGCAATTTTTGCATTTCATAAAATCAACATCTCGCATACTGCACTGAAAATAAAATCTCAGAGCATCCATGTTTCCTCGTGTCGGTTCAGGGAGCTGATCACATACATTGCTATCTTGATTCTATCGGCAGACAAGAGCTTTTTGTACATATACTTTCAGAGTGTTACATGGACTATTGGCAATACACAAATACACATACAATACTGGGAACAATCTATTTTTTTTTCTCTCTTTTTTTTTCTCTTCAATTGTTACCTTTGTGATTACAGTTCTGACGATACAAAACTTCCAAACCCAGCGTATTGGAAGAACTGGTCATTTGATTACAGTAAATATATTACAGTGTTTTGATTCTCTCTTTATGCTAATCTCAATACACCAGAATGCTACCTACGAATATCACATTTAAGTTGTGTGCGATTAAAAGTCAATCGGTTATCTTTCTCGGAAATTTGGAGCACACAGACGCACACATGCCTTTGACGAGTACACTCTCGTCAAGCAACAACACATGTCCCTACTTGCGGGAGGAGAAAAATAAAATAAACTGCATTCAAAAGAAGATTCTATGTTGTCTTTAACTCTCCTGTACAGCGAGGACAAGACAAACTTCGCAAAGGAAATCTGGCCTTAAAATGAGCGAGAAGAGGGCTCAGGGTGGTGCACTAAGATGCCCCTGTACAGAAATACCGTACCCCGGACTGATCTTGAGGGCCCTGTACAGGGATATCCCACATTGTCCCGACAAACGCTTTCTTCTGCAAGGGTTGGCAAGTACACAATGTATCACTGAAAATATGCATGCCCAAAGCCACACGGTAAAGCTTGGGGCACCAGACGACGCTGGGTATAAGGTACCAAAGTGGATACTTTGTACGCGCAAGTATGTGTGTGCAAGGCATTAGTGCAACAACCAGCGTGTGAACCAACACGCGTGTACTCCGTGCATTTGTATGACACTTCCTGGTACTACAGGATGTCACTCACACTTTGGTACTCTAGCTGTACCAGAGAGACATTGTATCATGAGTGGCGCCGAAATTCGGGCAACAGAATAGCACCGGAGCATCCCACGCGCGAGCATGCAGGGGAAGCATGGCCGACTTATACACAAGGCGAACAGCCGAGCACATTTTGCAGGTCTGGCCACTTGACGGTCGCATCAAACCCTAACGGTCCTCAATCGTCCGATTTCAATATTACTTTTACATACACCCTAGGTGGTTAAGTGACCATCAAAGTAACCACCACACAATAGCTGGTCCATGACTGAAGTGGCCAGATTACAGCATTCTGTGGCGCTTGACACAAAAGGGAGGGGGGACCCACAAAATTTCTACTAAAAGCAGAACCAAAAAAATTAGCAGCAACATCACATTTTCCCCCTGCTGCTTTGGCGCCGACTTCCGCTCTCTCTCAAGCACTTCACAAACAGCGCCACAAACCAACCTATTTGAGATACACATCTCCCCTGTTCAGTATATAACCAAGACAAAGTGACTGGAAATGACTGATTCTTGTTTCATCAGCCAACTACAAATGAATGCTTTCACTGACAGACGTACGTCTTCAACGTCCATAACACATATTCCAAGCTTCTGTCTATGAGCCAATATCCCATCTTAGCTCCACTTTTTAGGCTTTGTGACATTTATGACTTTAGAACATACTGCAATCTATCACCTTAGAAGCCAAAGGGAAAAACACATGGCCCCACTCATTTTTTTTCTAATTTACCTATCCAATATACCATTTTATATCCATTATTGCGGCACCTTCTGTTTACCGCATTCAAATGCTGATGGCAAGTTACATAACGCTCCTGCACCGGTGCGCATACTACTCACTACTGTTCTCACAAATTACTGAGCCCGCAAGGAGAATCTCTCCTCTTGAAAACTGGCCAGTGTACCAGCAGAGGTGGTCCAGTGTTGAGTCCAGTGTAAGTCTCCTGGATATGACTAGCACAGGAGAAGGCCCAAACCTTCCTCTTTTTTTGCAATATTTGGCAATGCATTATTTTTGGGTGCAAAGAAAAACGGTCTCTATCCGGGGGGGGGGGGAGTTAGAGAAAATTGAGAACGTACTGGGTTACAACTATTTGAGTCCCTAACATGCAGTGGAAAGTTTCAAGTGTACTAGTTGTCGACTTCAAGGTTGGTGGTGACTTTGGAGAAGTCCACATCTTCCCCCGTCACCCTCTTGTAGACATCCTTGATGTCACAGCAGGTAGACTCGAAGTGAGTCGTGGCATCGTACGACGTGGTGATGAAGATCTGCTTGAACAGAGAGAAAAAAAAATGCAAAAAGTCACATCGAGTCTTTGCCCTTTGCTGCTGTTCCCCAGCCAAAGCCTTGGAGCATGACATCTCATCAGTTAATCATTACTTTTGGTATGACACAAGTGAGCCCACAGGACTGATCCAATCTTAGTGGATAGGTGCATCTGCAGAACGGCCAATGTTGGTGCCTATCCCTACCTGAGGATTCTGCTTCCTTCCAGAGAAAATTGCTCAGGGAGTCAGGGTAAAAGACTTCCTTGCAGCGGGCAATCAGCACTATTTCAAAAATTCAAAAAATGCCCCTTCAAGGATACTAGTCCCTGGCAGGATAAGTAATAAAACGGCATATCGAAAAATAGCAATGCTAAAAACTCTGTGGATGCTACCTTGATCCAACTCCCAAAGATTTCTCTCTAGGAATTTTTGTCAAACCCAAATAAACCACTACTATGAAAGAAACCTGTCAAACGTCTTTTGAACTCAAACTTTCGAGTACCATCAAGTCCCAAGTAAAGTTTCAAAGGGTGGGATTTTTTTACTTTCCTCAGTCTGGAGAAAATATCTTCTGACAGCTCTTCACGGATTCTGAAACTCAAGGGAGGAAATAGAGAAAGCATATAACACCAGCATAGTTACCTTGTTGTCTGTGCCGTCGTTAATGGGCTCGTACAGGTCCGACACCGAGTTAAACTGAGCCTTAATGGGCTTCAGGAGGTCTAGTGCAATTTCCAGCTCGCGCAGCGGATTGTCCGTCTCCACCTTGCAGGATGCTATGGCAATGTAGTGACCTTTGGCAGCCACGTTGTGTGCAAACGACACACAACAGACGTAGATATCTGAAAGAGAACAGGTGTTTGTCTTCATCTGGGTCAAAATTGACGGTGGTCCGCTGGCCCAGGGCCACCAAAATTCATTGGGCCACTGCATTCTCCCAAAACGATGGTCCGGCCGGACAGCAGTCATTTGAGAAACACTGCCACATTTTCAAACTTTTCATCGCATTTTACGACTTGTGTTTCAAATCCCCTGCGCAGCACTTTCAAGTCCATGATATAATTACACAGTCCGCGCAGCCGGGCTCACGTGCCACATTCTCTTCCTTGCAGTCATGCATTCAGCTCATACACGTGCAGCAGGTGCCTGCCCTGGTATGTTGGCTGGTATCATTTTCTAACGATGCCAGTTAAACGTTATCTCCCACGGACACCGATGAAACCTTTACAGGTTATGTCGCGTCGAGTCCAATCGTCAAGTACGAGCAATATAACCTCAAATTAAATTTGTGAACACAAAAAATACAACAGATCAAGTTCTGGGAATTACATGTAACTTGTAGAAATCTTCCTGCGACATCATTTTTTTTTTCGAAGTGCAGCTTGAGAGTTACATGTGAGTACGGTGAATTGTACAACGCTGTTTTGACCGTGATGCATGGACTGGTTGCCGCGTTACCATTACGCCTTCTTTCGCTGTGGCGCGGTGAGCGGGAGCATGCATCGAGCAATACCGTGTGTGTGTTTTTACCACCGCTTGCCAGTCACCTGACCACTCCCAATCCAGAACTGCCACAGCCTGGCAAATCATACTCTGTATTCATGTGTCAGCAACGTTGAATTGAAACCAAGGTTTTCATTTTGGAAACCTACGAGTAAAGTAACAGCACCAAAATAAATTCATTGGTGATAAATTACATCTAAAGGTTTTGAGTCACTTAAAAAAAACATGAAAGTGAGGTTTGGGACCCAGAATAGTCTGGTACCATCCCATTGAACAGATTACACTGAATATGATAGATTCAGGGAACAGGATAAAATAACGGTTTCCTCAAGAATAAGGTCTATTGTCCCTGTTATCAACCTAGACCCTTCTGTCGCTACCACAGCAAACAATAACAGTATCTGGTTCTTGTTTACGTCCTCGCATCCATTTTTACGCAATTTCATTTGAAGAAATTGGTTTGCTATTACATCATCAGTAGTCTTTGGCTGAATGAGTATTGTAGAACTTTGAAAGAAAAAAGAAAGTCTGTTTTGTCTCTTGCTCAAGTGGATCTCTCGCCTCGGGACCATGTGGCCAACTTTAAACGTTTCGACGGCATGAACGCAACCGAATCCTTGACATCCCATGTTGGTCTCATTGCCACTCCTTGAGCTTGAGTGACTGCACACCTCCCCTCCCTACCCGACAACCCACCTGATTTTCGGCCCTGCACTTGACTGCAAGGGAAGATGATCTGCGTCGACACTCCAACTGAATTTCCCTTCTTTGTTACGATAGGGTGGTCCAGGATGCAGATTGCTCGCACCACCTGTCCGGTTTTCTTCACCAGGTCCGGGAAGTAGGACGGGTCGCCCACCACAAGCTTGGTGCGGGCGGTCTCTCCCTGGGACTTCACCCCAACCACCTTGCCGCCGTCCATCACGATCTCTTCAACGGGCTTGTCCAGCATGTAGGTACCCCCGTAGATGGCACTCAACCTAAATATTACAACAAAACCCAAGCTGGGATACTGGACAACGGTCTTCACAACTCATTCGACATATTCGACGTGTAGATCTGTTGGTTGCATTTTGTCAATTTATGCATGTGTTTACCATTAACAGTATTGAGAGGTCCGTGGTGTGTCAGTCCTTCCACTGCCCTGCTAAAAATACAACCTCTTTCAAACTTATACTTAAATATCCAGTTGCCTGGCTGCTCAATAAGTGCGTAATACACGGTGATTCTTCAAAGGGTTGGAACCATACACCATCTACATGTACTCTCACCTGGCAAAGCCTTGTGGTAGCTCCCCTAGGCCATACAATGGGTAGAGGTACGGGCTCTTCCCGTATCTAGAGACAGAGTCAAAGTACAGCTTTAGCCGCTTCACGGTGTCTTCACATGGACTTTGCAAGTAACTACCAAAAAAAAAGAAAGGTAAAAACGGGATTAACCCATGTGCACGGGCCAAAATCTCTGGCTGACGTCAGGCACACGCTATCCGTCATCAAAGCGTTTTCCACTTTAAGTTAGCAAAAAGAGAGTTCGTGGAGGCAGAGCCACGAGACTGGGCCGCTAACGGAATGCCATGATGGTAAAACACGGGGCCTCGGAGGGCCGCACCTTCAAATTCCATCAATCCATGGCAACTTACTCATCGTCCAGCTGCAGCGCAATGGCATGACCAATGACGTCTGTCACGTTTGGGATGTTAAAGAGCTTGATGAAGTCTTCTGTTTTCATCCCTTTCTGGTAGCCTTTCTTGGTCACACCGTCCTCTTCTGTGTACTTGGCCACACAGCTGACCAGATCAGCAAAGCGCTTCTTTTCAAATACACCGACCAGGTCTGCAAAGGGGGGGGGGGCGGGATGAAGACGGACACCTCTTTAAATCACAATAATACTTAATACGAGTCAATTTGTTACGATTGCTAAACTGTCTGTGGGTTCAACACTTTCCCTCATTTAATTACCCTACAGGTGTCCATCATGAAACAACATATTCAGCAGTATTGAATAGATACTGCTGCTTCTAGACTCTGAGCACACCTTTCCTGAAACAGAACGGGCCCGCATGATGGCTGAACGGTGACGGTTACTGCCGAATACACGATGCTTCCTTTGAATTTCAAACGTAAGTATCCATCCTGAATGTCAAGGTATGGAACTTGAAAAATTCAGGTATGATGCCTTACACACAGGGTGAAAGGAGAATCTCACTGGGCACGACCAAAGTACATAAGGAAACGCTGTCACAGAGAAAGTAGAAATGTGCAAGATATACAAACAGACACTGGGCAGTGTGGAGAACCTAGGATATCAGAAGCAACACAGGATTTCCCATTGATCACTTTCCGACAAGCAACTATTCAAATCAGAAGTTAAACGCCGAGGTCAGCTGAAGCCAGAGAGAGAGAGGCACGTGTCAAGAGCAAGAATCTGATCCACGAGGCTGCCATACTCACCAGTTTTCAACGCCTCGGTATCGGACGCGGGAATCTTTGACAGTTTGCCCTTGTAGAACACGTAACTGCTCTCAATGCTTTTGAACTCCAGGTACCTGGTCACGCCAGAGAGTATCAACATTCGGACAAGCTCTCCTGCAACAGAACAGACGACAGGACGCATCAAATATGTAGGGTCCACTTTAACAGCTTACAATCTCCCAAGTACAAATAAAGGACTCGCACAGCCCCCTCAGGCAAACTTGAGTAATCCTTTAAGCAGACAAAAATCTGTGAAATATCTACACAAGGTACAAAGGTCTCCGATATTTCTCTTTCCAAGCATGAGGCCCGACTTCAACCGGAGCTCGGATGAAGGCTGAATACAAGGTGGGTTGTTTTAAGCATAGTCCAGTTTTCATGTTCCAGTGCACAAAATCTTTGACACTCTGAAGCAGGTACAATTTCTCAAGTTCATTAAATGGCCTTTGGACAACAGGTCCTCAATTTACCGGTCAGTGTATTCAGTCAATTGAACTCTCTGGGGTTCTGTTAAATCAATCAATGAAGTCAGCGATTCTGACATCATCATTCAGCCCCACATGGCACTGCCTCTCATATCTACCACTGAGGCTGAACACATGGACTCCGGCAGAATTTATGGCAGGCTTGATATGGACAACTGGTACCTACCATTGGCCATGATGAGCTTTGGGATGAGGTCTACGCTCCAGTCCCTGCCTTTTCCATAGGATTCTTCATTGTATTCACTGTCCTTGCCGTACTTGTTGAACAACTGTACAGGAGGGGAACAAAAGCCCCCAAAAAACCACCAAATAAGATTCACGCAGAAGCCATTTCTCATCTTGTGCCCTGAATCTTTTGCACTCAGTTTAATATGGTATAAAATGGGACGGTGTCAGATTATTTCAGGTACCCGAGCTCCATTTGTGTTTTTTTTTTTAATGTCGCTTAAAACATTTACAGGTAGATAGAATTTATCATATATTTCAAATAATTCTAAACAAAAACTGCATGAATTTGTACTGTAGTTTTTAATTTGTTACAGTTATTTTTTTACTCTCAGGTTCCAAAATCAAAAAGTTTTAACTCACTTTGAAGTCAAGATAGCCGACATACGAATACTGTCTACTGAACAATACGGCTACGATCAAAACTAGGTGCACATGCTGTGTGCACAACCCTCTAGAGGGCTGTCCACCAGCGACAGAACCCTAGTTACACAGCCAATCAGCAAATACATAGCATCCGATTATCAAACACAATGTGCCAGAAAGAGTGCAGAAAACCTTCCTGCTTGACCCCCCTACAAAAAGCCATATGTCTCCAGTAACAAATTTCGGCGCAATTTCCTCTTTTTTCTCCTCTTCCTCGGTGGCATATAACTGTTTCTATTTCACACTGCCTCAAATACACCCCGTCTGACTTCGGTACAAAAGGAATCCATTCTTTCTATGTGATGGGAATAAAACTTCAATGATGAAAAAACAGTCTTTCAGTCATGTTTGTCTTCTGTGCAGACCTTCCCCACTTGTACTTTATACCCTATTGTTAAAGCCCTCTCAAAACTTACTCTATGAAGTATGACCCGCATTTTTATTTCCTAAATATATCACAATCCTACCTGTGCAGAAATACACTTTCTGTCCAATACACTGTTACACAGAAATAAAATAAATTACAATTAAGGTTTGTACTGCTTACATCTGCCAACGGTGTTATAGATGCACTCTCGCCACCATAGTACTTGTTTCTGTCCATATGAAGCACTTTCTTTCCCGACACTGACAGCAGTCCACTGATGACACATTCCTGACAAACAAAACAGGGAAATTTGGTGGGTTTTTTTTTTAACACGAAAAGAAAATTCCTGCTGAAATAAGGCTGCTAAACTTCAACGGAAAAGGAAACGCCACATGATAGCTGGGACAGGAATAGACGGCTGGCCACCAGGGCCAATTTCAGCCCCTAGGGTACGTATAAAACTGCAGGGACCAGCAGCCATGGCCCACTGGCCAGGAACTACTGACAAAAATTGGAGGAAAGATCATAAAACGCAAAGCAAGTCACCTAACCCACTTCAGCATGAAGGATCTTTTTTTCTCCATAGTACGTGTATGTGTGTGTACATGTAGTAACATTGACAGCTTTCATGTATCAATTTGTATTGATTGTAGGTGTTCACAAAAAAAGTGTTTGGAAAAACATCAATTTTTGGAAATTTTCATTCTCATCGCTTCTGTAATTATTTTGGTGTGTACACGGACAGAATTTTATTCTGTTGTGCTTCAAAACGATAAGTGTATGTATTCAGCCGTGGAAATATCCCTCCAAGAGTTTTTCAATCCAAACTTTATCAAAAACATTACAAGCTAATCAATCCTGAACAAAAATGAGGGAAATTTAAGCTGTCTTGAGCGCTACTTGTGAAGAGAAAACACTGCACATCAGTGCAACTGCCGACACGTCTGCTGGCAAACAGCCTCGTTTTCAAATGCGGAAGTGCGCAGATCGACGCTAAAAGCGTCGTATTGGGATCCATCTATTGGGCTACACTTTGATTTTGTAAGATTTAATACTATTACTCTGCAAAGTCATCTGCATACTGCAGACCCCTATCCATACCAAATGACTCAAACTTCAACAATGTTGACTTGTTGGAGTTAAACAGATTTCTGTCCAGCCACGTGCAGGTTGTAACAGAGACCCCCTTGTGCACAAGTTTTCTCTGTTGAACTTTGTTTGGTTCAGCACTGTTTCTTGTGCAAAAGCCTAGGGGAGGAGGGTTAAAGAGAAATTTCCTTCAGAACTACAAAAATGTAACAAATTTACAGTCCTCACTAAATTGGTTGCCCAGGTGCCAGGAACAACCAAATATATTTCCAAACAAGAATTTCCACCATTGGTTGTCCATAGACAACCAGAAAAATCTGGCAAAGAACAGTACCGATTTTTCTTCACTCACTGTTAGTTTGTATATCAATTGATAAATAAAGTTTTAAGAGAAATACAAGAAATGGATTTCTCAATCCAACTCCCGAATTTCAGTGAGGTTTTGCCTGAGTTTACAATATGCCGATGCGCATGTCATGTGTACAAAGTGTATACTGTATGTGTACATATATGTAGTCCGGTTCCCTGACCTAGCCTACAGGTTCACCAATGATTCCTCAAGCCTGGGAACCAGACTAACCCGCATGTATGGAGAATTTGTGAAGAAGTACAACAATTTGATTTCAACATAGCGTGAGGCACTGGGAAAGTTTTGTGTGTTCTAAAAAATTGACCCTCGTTCTTGATGATATCTGCACATGTGACAGCACAGGTTGCTAAACAGCTCTCATTTGTCTCATAACTGTGCCCCTAAATTATAAAGAAAGGAGCAAGTAACCCTTGTCATGGAACCACAACATAAGTACAATTTTTTTACAAAGTCACTGGGCGCTAGCGCAGCGGGCTCACACATGCGGCTAGGACCAACAGCACAGCACTATACAAATTAACTTTTGCAAAGCAGTTGGATAAACTTGTATCTATAGCAATTTTTTTTCATGTAATTACAGTGCAAATCTACAGCACACAATTGCAACATAATTACAACCATAAGAGTGGGTCCGAGTTGACTCAAGGTGGGTCCGAGTTGGCGTGGGTCTGAGTTGGTTGTGGGTCGAGATGGTCATGGGTCCGAGTTGGCGTGGGTCCGAATTGGTCCTGGGTCTGAGTTGGTTTGGGTCCGAGTTGACCTGATCCCAATGAATGTCACGGTGAGCGCGGCCTAGCCCCACTAGTGTGGCACGGACTCTCACTCCCGATCCATCCTTAGCCACACATCCGTATACGCAATTTTACGTTATTCAAGTATTTTCCTGTCTTTTTGCCTTTATCTATTTAATCTAATGGGGCTTGCTCTCTCAGTCGCCATCTTTAAAATAAGATCATTGAAAAATACGTCACTTGACCCCTCCTCGTCTCGACGGCTCTTCCATGTCAAGACATATGTAATATAAAACTAATAAAACGGACTGAGCGATAAGATACTACATGTACCAATTGACTCTTCCAAAACTTTGGCAGCAGTTTAGATGTCTTGACTGGAAAATACCTGAATAACGTGAGTGAAATCATTCAATAAATGGTTTTTAGAAAACGGAAAGGTCAAGGATCATGTTCGTATGCAAAAGAAATTGCACCCACGATGATAAGTGGGTGCGCCGAAAATGTTCAGTACGCCGGCACGAAATTGCGTATACGGATGTGTGGCTAGGATGGATCGGGAGTGAGAGTCCGTGCCACACTAGTGGGGCTAAGGGCGGCCGGGTTTGGTCGAGCATAACCAGCATGGTGACCGCGACCGGCTGCACATGTGTCATTTTAGTGTGCGTAATAAAAATGGTTGAAATATTGCAGGAACATATTTCACAAACTTTACCTTGAGCCCTGTGCCCAAAATAATAGCGTCGTACTCTTCATCCATCGTGAAAAAGGATGAAATTCAGCTCTTGCCAAAGAAGCGAAGCAGAAACAGCTTTGTTAGCAGGTTTTGAGGACAACTTGGGCGCTAGCCTCTGCCCACTTCCTGATTCACGCTGGAGAATCCAAGATGGCTGTTGCCAATCCCCGATGTCCTCTGCCGTCGATGTGGGATTGATGAAAAAAGTAGTTTGGTTTTATTTATAATTAATCACTAAATAAGGACAGACATTGTGCCAAAATACACATCTATATCTCTTGAAATGTGTATTAAAGGTTTAATCTGAACTGAAAGTGGACAACCCCCAAAGATTACTTGAGATTTTTTCGCGGAAGGATACATATACCATTACCAGAACTACAAGAAATAATGCAGGCGTGTTTCAGTGTTACCTAGTCCAATAAAAGACACACGATAAAACCAACTTCTGAACCGTCGGTGAATTTTTTTTCAAGCTCTATGGGTGAATTCAGGGACCGAAAACGAAGCCAAGCCTCTACGCTACTTAAGGGATGTCTTTTCTGGTCTAAACTTCAATGAAAGAAAGACACTTTTATTATTTATTTATTTTCATTTCTTTTCTTCACTTAACCTGCAGTGTGTAACTGGGCAATTAATGATTTATCCCATATTTTTCGCCTCGACAATTGCAAAAAAAGTATTTTGCCCTTTGGTGCTGGGTCCTCCCTTGCTTAATTGTATGATCGGTATGAGTCACATTTAGGTATTCCAACAGCGTATACTCAGCACGCGATAGTCTGCCCTGTCAGCACAGCCCATGATCTCCATTACGGTGCAGCCATACACTTACTCACACGAGTGCTTGCACGGTTCCCGAAAGACAAAGCTTTTGAAATACCGAACTGGCTCACGAACTACGAAATTTCAACGGAATGTACTGCAAAAGTGGCAGGTTGCTCGACGAAGTTAGAGGCCTCCGTAGTATTTACTACAATTTTTTTGGGGTTTTTTTTTTTGTTCAGGGTGCATTCCACCAAATCGTTGTATTTCTGCGCGTGAGCTCATTAAGATTTTGCGATTCCGCCGGGTTTCTACGATAAGACGTGCAATAATCTCGGGGGATCATAGAAGTATTTCCACAAATCCAGAATTTGGGAGTGAAAGGTTCCAGTTTGGGTTTTTTTTCACAAAGAGCCCCAATTTACGGGCCTATTTTGGAGAGAGGCGGGCGGCTACATTTAGAGCTGAGCGCATGATTGGGGGTATCTTTGGGGAAAGGCGAATTTTAAAAGTTCACGTGGCTTACCCCCATAAAATTGAAACGAAAAGTGATTTTCTGGCCATAATCTTGAATTTCCAGTGAAAAAACGGAGGCCAACTTCTTCCCAAGAGCCATGCGCCAACAGGGGGCGATATTTCGCTCTGGTTTTGCACTGTTTTCTATAGGTAGGCCTACGTACTTTGTGTAGTGCAACCTTCATGTGGGGGAAGCATTAATCTACGGAAGCGTGTAAAAGCCACTTGCAAAAATATTTCGAGTTATCTCGCTAACTCGCCGCGGCGATATAGTAACTCGAAAAAAATTGCTGCGAGTGACCCTTATACGCCTTCGTATAAATCTCGTAGTTTGATGAAGTTTTGGTCGCATATCCAGGCTCATTTCATACAAATTAATACAGATCCATGGGCATGTATTATGGTGGGCCAAAAAAAGGTTTGGTTAAAGAATCCGAGAATGTCACTCCATTTTCTGTCTGGTCGCAAATAATTCAAAACAGATCCTGACAAATTGTATCCACATTGCAAGGTGTTCAAAGGTGACCTCTACTTTTCCAGCCTAATTATTGTCAAAGCAAGTTTCTTCTACAGGTGATGGAGCTGTTTCATGTCATAGGCCGTTCGTATGTTAGTTTCTCCAGGCGCAGTAGCCTTCAATGTGCAGGCAGCTCTCAAATTATTCCAAAAGACGATGGAAGCGATATTTTCTTGTGTCGGAGGTCCTATGATTTGTTTATTAATAACAAAGCCACCGGCGGGGGATAAATCTCAACAAGTGTGTGAAGCAGTTATAGACAGATCTCTTTTGAAATGCGCAAAATTAAAGGAAAGTGAATTTTCATGAAAGAAATTAAGCAAAATCAAATGCAAATGTTTTTTAATATTGCAGCATTTGAAACCCTTTTTGACATATTTCTCCAGTTCTTCCAAAGAAAAATACCATTCTACCTTGAAGGGAAAAATAATTGCGGGTAATCGTTACGGGTACTTTGCAGCTGGCAAGAAGTCTGACGAATCTGCAGGCAAGGGTATTATCAGTGCTCATGTTCACCTGAGCCAGTCTTAAACGTTCAAGACAACTTAATCACGTGGGTTAAGACCAATCACATAGCTATTCCCATTATTCGCATCAATGAATACTGTTGTTTAACTCAGAGAGTCAAAAGAAGACAATCAATTTCGAAGAATTTTGTTCAGGAGTTTTACTTTCATTTCCCCGAACACCCCGTCCGTTTTATGGTATCTCCCTTAGGCCCAAGTATCTCATATCTGCAGAGATGCCCATAATTTAAGTAGGGCTCTTCACGGAATTTTTTCTAATGTGTGGTCCTCAGGCATGGTTCTAGAAGAATGGAAAGATGGTAAAATTCTTCCTGTCTATAAAGGGAAAGACCAAAGGACGGCCTGCGACAGCTACCGTCCAATCATCTTGCTTTCAATCCTTGGTTAGGTGTTCGCGCATATTCTGCTTACCAGAATCAGTTCATTGTTTATTTCCCTGCACACAACACAGCAGAAAGGTTTCACTCCCAGCTGTTCCACGTCTCGTATAATCCTCGGCTTGCTTGTATTTGCTGAACTCCGTCACGAGTACAAATCGCCGCAATATGTCACTTGTGTTGACTCCGACATCAAGACAGCCACAATAATTCTGTCGACCGGAGCCAACCCTGGGATAGCCTCAACGCAAAGGGACTCCAGGTGTATAATTCTAGAGCTCTAAACTCTGACACTAAGCCAAGGTCAGGATAGGCAGTGACTTATCCCCTTTTCTCAACCTCCTCCGGTGTAACGGTCTCATTTTTCCCGGCGTACTCAGATTTCCGGAAAAACGCACCGGATAATTGAGCACGCTGACGCAACGTGCCACTAGTACTCATTCGTGTAGTGTGCTGTGTTTTTCCAGTCGCACACGTACATACGCATAAAGTCTGGTTCCGCATTCAGCGCGGACCATCTGGGGCTACTGAGCATACGTTTGGGTCACTCAGCAGTGTTCGCTTACTACCCAGAAATCCAAGCACGCCGAAGAAGTGAGACCGTTCCCCCGGAGTCCAGCAAGGTTGTGTGCTGGCACCCACCCTGTTCTGCTCATCCTTGTACACAATTCTTTCATAGTACCAGACATAACTAGGGACTGATAAAGGTGATCAAAGGTTTGCTGACCTCCTGTGTGCTCATGATGGTGCGCTATTTACTGATGACCGTCAAAGATGGAGGGGGGGACATCTTACAACCTTCGGACGGAAAGCGAGCGGCATCGGCCTTTTCTGCCCTCCTCTACGGGTCTGAAACCTGGACACTGAGAAAGAAATATCAACAGCGTACTCAAGCCTTCCACGAGCAGTGTCAGCGTCGTACACTTGGCGTCCAGTGGTTTGACTTGACATTTTATTTTGTAATGCCAATCCTGCAGCGCATGGGCCTTGGTATCCTGTCGGAGATCTTAGAGAGGCGACATACCCCGTTTGGTAATGTCCAGTGCCTCCAAATTGCGTCCCCTGCTCGTCTTACCCTTGACGCAGCCGATCAATTTCATCTTGGACAAAGACCTGGACGAGGTCTCGCGATCATCCCCGCGCGCCTTACCTGGTTTAAGCAGGTTGCCAACGCTGTGCTGCTCGCAGCTGTCTCCAAATGAGTGCTGATCTCTTGCTCTTGAACGGGTTTGTTGGAAGCCACCGCAGCCCTCGTGATGGTCGCGTGCAACACCACAACCATAGAGAGATTTCACATTATCGCCATCTGCGCATATCTACATCGAAACCGAGTCTCTCTATGTTGAACTTCATCGCGCGCCCGCGGAGTCCACACAGTACATGCAGTATTCGGTTCGTAAGTGTGACGCCACTTCAGTTTAAACCACGCCCACTGCATAGGATACACGACCATCGCAGGTACGTTTGTTCCCGGTAAATTGACGTTATTTCCTCTTTTGATTTCACGTGTCCAGTCATCCTGAAAGACTCTTCCACAAAAATTTGGAGCCTGACAAGTCTGAATTCAACATACCTCTATGTATTTTGTGTCTTGACTCCTTACTTTCAATCGTCTGATCGTATTAAGAATTGAAGCTGACACATAAAGCCTTGTTTTCAAACGCGGAAGTGCGCAGATCGACGCTAAAAGCGTCGTATTGGGATCCCTCCATGCCCTTGCGCAAGTAGTCCAAAAGAATATCCTTATATGGACTTGGAGCGCGTGTGGTGAATTCTGCGTGACGCAGCGCACGGAGACTCTTGACCAAAAGGAATGGATTAACTCGTCTGTTCCAGATGCCAGAGCGTTTTTACGCAGCGGGCATTTTCAAATCACAGCCAACACGTTATCCAATATGAATACACGTTTGTGTGTCAAATGTTAATTAAAACAGGGCCGTCCATAAATAATGTACGTACGCATGAAAGGGGCGGGGTTGGTGCCGTTGCGTACACCATGCGTACAGAGGGGAGGGAATTCAAACCAGTGTGTACCGTGTTCATGAATCTTCATCATGTTAATATGTACACTTTGTCATACTACTAAATACCAGAATCAGCTTTTGTGTGTCAAAACATTCAAACAAAGTATCATTCCATCGCCCATCCCTCCATTCCTCAAGTGCCAACGCCTTCAAAATGAATAAATAAAAAACCGGGATTATTTTTTGTTTTTATTCAACAACATCTTTTTTTTTTTCAATTTCCAGGGCCGATATAAAACCTGTTATTACTTTGATCATTTATTTAAGAATTCGGAAGCGACGTGCGAATAACAATGCTATACTACACTAGATGTACAATGTACTGTGACATGTAACGATGCTGAAGCAAGGTACCCCGAGAAGTCAAAAGATGTGTACTGCGTGTGCGTACAGGGGGAGCGGTTGGAGCCACTGAGTTTGTGTGCGTACGCCTTGCGTACAGGGGCGAGGAGGGGACCTAAAACATCGGCATTTCGTTCGTTCTTACCCTTTGGACTACCCTATCGGCCGACTATGATGCCTAGCATTGCCGTTCACTGCAGCTCAGAGCATAAATTTGAGTTTGAACCATTACAATTTTTCATCTCATCTTCACTCTGCTGTGTTGGTTCTCCATTTGGTCTCTTCAGGATGTCTGTTATGTCGATGATAAAATCACCAGGAAATTATGCAACACATCAACAGACTCTACGTTTTCTTGATAACATTGATAGAGGATTAACAGAATTATTCAAAAAGATGAACACTGCATTAGTGAACTGAAAGAAACAAACTTTTAGTCAAATGTTAGCCCCTTGTAAGTTTTATTCAACTCTTAACCATTTGGTTTTTTTCAAACAAGAAACAATTTACAAACACAGCCTACTGAATTTCATATTACAGTGCAAAACCTTGTTATTTTAAAGTAGCTGTGACGTGTTAATCTCAGAAGAATTTCCAAACATGTTTGCCCTTGTATCATACCACTTTAATGGCGAGTTGTGACTTACTGCAAGTGTTAAAATGACGGTTGCATTGGTATGTGTGTTGGTGTGTCGGTACGTATGGGTGTGGTTTAATCTGCAATCGTCAGTACAGCAAATCAAATACAAAAATCAATACGCAAAAACAATAAGCATCTAAATATTATGTTAAAATATGCATCAACCTATGAATCTGGTTTGTAATCCAAAACAAAGCCTTGAGTCAAAAAATGAGTATTATATTCAGAGTCAGAAAAAAAGGTATCTATAGCATGTCCCAAATTTGTTATAGCACAGCCATATCACACCAAATGTCAAAGCTAGCTTCCAAACTCCACTCTTCAGGTACGTACTTTAACCTTAAATACTCAAAATCAGCACAGGATCATCCAATTCATAATACTCTTTACGTGCAGGTGTGGAACTGACCAGGTCTGACGTCACTATTTTACACTCATAACTTTCAGTTCATCGTGCCCCCCAAAATCCCTCCTTTAAAAAATCCTAATCTGTATCACATACTCACAACATTGGGCGTATCAAGATTCAAGCAAACGTCAGTGGAATTCTTCCATGAACTTTGGCAAATGCAGAATGTGCAAGCAAAAAATGTGATGGCACGACGCCCACTAGATATTATAAGAAATAAAAAGTATAAATATCCCTGTCATTGCCCGTGCAATTACTACTTTGTTCTGTAAGTTTAGAGAATATGCTTTAGGCCGAAAATTAACTATTGGCCTGTTTAATTTAATAAAAATGAATGGAAAAAGAGCTGAATAGCTATTTAACCCACCTTGAAAATAACTGTGATTTTTCAGTACACGAATTTCAAACAAATAAACTACCAATGCATCCCAGAGAGAGTGAAAAGACATCAGTTAAAACTACAACTTTTAAATGGGCCGCCATTGACCTTGTTACCCAACCATTACACGCAAGTAGCAATACATTAATGTCTTCTTAATACACCTGAACAATGTTTCCTAATCGATAGAGAAAGTGGATACTTTGTGTTACGTGTGTGTATTTACACGTGGAAGCAGATCTAGAATTGTGCCTTTGATGCATGAAAGTGTCATGGTGTGGACGCAGAGACATCTGAGCTTTTCCGAGGACAGCTGATGTACGCGCAGTTCAACCAATGAACAGCGCCCTTTGTTGCAAGCGGCAAGTTTGTTATCTCAGATGGATTTGAAGATTCTGCTGTTAGGTTATCGCATTTTTGAACATAATAAAAGCAAATGTGATTAATTATGAGAAGGCATGACTTTTTTCTAAATAAAAGTGGCCAAAAAGCCAACCGAAATATTTTTTTTTAAATGGCCGCGTTTTCACCATAACATAATTTAAACCAACAAGAATGACTTTTTGAAATAATTGGTATTACTGTCTTGTTCAGCTTCAAAATAAGTTTGTCAGCTACATGAAAGAAAAAATAGACACACAATGTTTCCGAACCCACAGTAAAAGCATACTTAGAAAATGGTTCCAAATGACCTAAAAATTAATAATTTAAACTATATAAGATACTCTTTTAGTTTTATTTTAATTAATTGTGTTTCCAACTCCCAAATGATTCTAACGAACGACATAAATACACCCTTTCCTTAGGGGCAAAAATACCTAAGTGAATTTGCATTACTGCTGAAAAATTTCCGAATACAACGCACCAACATGGGTCTGAGTATTAAGACCCTCATATGTCATCAGGGAATTTTATGTCAGTTGTTGTAGCATGTACTTATAGAATTAGGCGGGCGCCGAAATTCAGGCAGTAAATGTCAACCGGTGCACCCCATAAATGCGCATGTGGAGAAAGCATGGTCGACTTGGTGTGCTACACGAAGCCAGCAGCTGAACACATTTTGCAGGTCTATTTATTGGCCACCTGACGGTCGCATCATCATTAACCTAATAACAGTCCTCAGTCCTCCAATTTCAATATGCGCCCTTGCCGGTTTAAATCAAAGTAACTATCACACAATGACTGGTCCATGGCTTAAGGGGCCACAATACAGCTTTTTGTAAATACGCTCGACACAAAGGGGCAATTTCACGTCACCCCGGCTGTTTGGCGCTGACTTCTGTTCTCTGTTCTCTTCACTCAGCGACACAAACAAACCTTTTTGAAATAGGGCCTACACATCTCCCCGGTTTAGTATAAAAGCAACACTAGTATTGTTACTGGAACTGATTGATTTTTAAAAATGCATGGTAAATCATTTAGTGTTGAACACAAAGAAAACGAAAGAAATGATAATTGTTTTAGGATGAAGAAAGTTTTTTACCCTACTGCATGTCCTCGTTGTATTTATATGGCAAATCGATTGAGAACGTATTGTACATTGTTACAGATATTTGGGTACTGAAATGGAAGATCGCCTGCGTTGGGTGGAATCAAACAAAGGCTACTCTCTTGAAGTGTAACCAAAGATTGTGATTCCTTTTAATAGAAAACGTAAGTTTTTCAATGATGTGGATGCGAGGATTTTGCGTTTGAGTACCATAGCACATGATAGCACTGTATGGTATGAACACGCGAAACAGCTAGACAGGTAGAAACTGCACAGAGTTACGAAGTAAGCTGTTACTATCATGAATTTTATGACGTCGATCTTTAATCAAATACATAAAGAACGGGTACTTGCCTAGGCCAGTGCAACTGTAGCCGATTGCTCCCGTCCATTAAAGGGTCATTATTATAAAGCTAAGAAGTAGGCGCAGATGGCAGTTAATGAGGGCCAGAACAAGTCGCTTTTCCAACTCTTTTGTTCCTCATTCTACTTATGAAAGATGTAAAGATATAGAGTTATTTTTGTTATTGAAGAGTCAGGTGGTTTGTTATGCTGTAGCTAATGATGATTATTTATAATGATATATCATCTTTTCTGTAAATGAGGTCCTTTGTAAAGTTGGTTAATTTTCTCTTCGTATTTGTTTTGTGTTGTACTTCATTATATCTGCATGCAAACAAAAGGCATTAATTTCCTAAATTGGACGATAATTCGAATTGAACAGCTAACTAAAAGTGAATGGTTTCAGCGACCGGCGTACAGCCTCAACATCCACATTATGATAATCCACATTCCAAGCTGCTGCATATACGCCAGTAGCCTGTCTTAGCCCGACCTTATGACTTTAGAGCATGCTGTTATCTAATGGCCTTAAAAAACCAAAGAGAAAAACAGAAGGCCCCGTGTATTTTTGTATCCAATATACCATTTCATATCCTTTTTGTGGCACCTTCTGGTACCGACTGGCGACTTAATAAAGCCACTGCACCAGTGTAGGCCTACATACTACTTACTACTTTTTCTCACAAGTTACAGCGCCTGCATGGAGAATTTCTTCTCCGAGATAAGTGAACCTACAGAGGCATCCAGCATTAACCCTAAAAGAGCCGGGACGGTATCCCCCCCTCCTCGGCATGTTTTCCGATATCACCGTAGTGCAATTTTCTCTGGAGATGAGCCCTTAGATTTTGTAGAGTAACTCATTTCGGTCATTTTTACACCAATTTTGGACAAATGGGGCATAACGTTCTTGCGGTTTGTGTAATGATAAGGATTGTCTTTGCAAACATGCCAGGCTTAAAAATATGGGACCTGGCACAGCCGAGTTCTTAGAGGGCGGAATATCCCGCCAGCTGTGAGATTGGCTTAAAAACTGACTCTTTTAAGGTTAACCCCTTGCTGCTGGGTGTAATTTGAAGTTGCTTGGCGTAAAACTGCATGGTTTTCAAGATGTTACATTTTCAAAATTCTTCACAAAAGCATAGCTTCATTTACTGGACGTTTGCACCCACATGAATAACTGTCTCAGGTTTACTCGGATCTGACGGACACATCTATTGACGCCCAAGTATTTCAGCCAGGCCTGCCGCCTTGAAAAAATTGGAAAAAAGTTGGCAATTCCCAGCAGCTTGGTCTTTTGTTCCGAGTACGGTCTAATGTTACAGTTAATCGTACTCTTGCGTACTGCAATAACTGTGGTGTTAAAATCAAAACGTTTTCGTCAGATGACCACATCATAGGGTGTTTAACACCAGTGAAAAGTGTTGATAACATGGGGAGGGGGGTTAATTTAACACCCCAGTTTTTGCAGTGTGGGATTCCCTGCACAGAAAGAGGCCTTAACCTTCGGGTTTTTTTAATTTAATTTGGCAAAGCTTGATTTTTCGATGCACAAAAAACGGTGCGCAGCAGGGGGTATGGGTTAGAGGGAATCGAGAATGCAGTGGGTTTCAACTATTATAGTCCCAAGCATGCAGCGGGAAGTTTACTGGCTGACTTCTTCAAGGTTACTGGGGTCAGCTGCGGTTAAGTCCACATCTTCCCCTGTCACCCTCTTGTAGACGTCCTTGATGTCACTGCAAGTAGATTTGAAATGAGTCGTGGCATCGTACGACTTGGTGATGAAGATCTGTTTGAATAGTAAACAAAAAATAATTGCAAAAGGTCACACGGAGTCACCGCCCTTTGTTGCTCCTACCCGGTCCAAGTCTTTGGAGAATGACATCGCATCGCAAGTGAACCAATAGGACAGATCCAATCTGAGTCGAAAGGTGCGTCTGCAGATTAGCCAATGTGTGTGCTTTTTCCTATCTGACGATTTTTCTTTCTTCCAGACACAAAATGCTCAGGAAGTCAGGGTAAACAACTTATATGCAGCGGGATATCGGTGTTATTTCATAAATTCGAAAAAATGCCACTTCAAGGACACGAAGTCCCTATGCGTGCGTGCATGGAAAACACTGAAATAGGAATTCCCGCTAATATAACCTCTGAAAAGGGCATAATCAACAAATAAAAATGGTAAAACATCTGTAGATACTATCTTGATCCAACTCCAAAAGATTTATTTCGAGGAATGAATATCTCACATAATCCACCACTGAGAAGGAACCTTGTCAAAAGTCTCTTGAACTCCGACTTTTAAACACCATCATAACCTAAGTTAGAAACTTAGGTTAAAATGGCTGGGATTTACCTTCCCCAGTCTTGAAATAAATCTTCCAAAAATCTCTCAGCCGATTCTAAAAACTGGAGGAAGGAAAAGGTTGAAACAATTCAAAAATAACAAGACATGAAAAATGGAGAAAGCCCACAACAAAAACATGGTTACCTTGTTGTCTGTGCCGTCGTTAATGGGCTCGTACAGGTCTGACACCGAGTCAAACTGGGCCTTGATGGGCTTCAGGAGGTCTAGTGCAATTTGAAGCTCGCTCAGTGGATCATTTGTCTCCACCTTGCAGGATGCTGTAGCGATGTAGAAATTTTTGGAGGCCACGTTGTGTGCAAACGACACACAGCAGACGTAAATATCTGAAAAAGAACAGATGTGAACATTTTTGTGTACTTCATTTGAAGAAATTTGTTTGCGATTAGATCATCTGTACTCTTGTGCTGAATGAGTTATACAGGGCTTAAAAATCTCTATTTTTGTCTCCAACTCAAACTTCGTCTCTGTCCTCGGGATCGGGACCACGTGGCCGACCTTAACACTTGACAAATGAACTCAACCGTGACATCCCACTTAGGTATTATGCCCCTACATTTAAACTCATAGCTACTCCTCGAGCTCAGGCAAATTCACAATCCCCCACCTGACTCACCTGACTCCCGGCCCGGCACTTGACGGCAAGGAAAGATGATCTGGGTCGACGTCGGATCGTTTCCAATTGAGTAGATAGGGTGGTCCAGGATGCAGATTGCTCGCACCACCTGTCCGGTTTTCTTCACCAGGTCCGGGAAGTAGGACGGGTCGCCCACCACAAGCTTGGTGCGGGCAGTCTCTCCCTCGGACTTCACCCCGACCGCCTTGCCGCCGTCCATCACGATCTCTTCAACGGGCTTGTCCAGCATGTAGGTACCCCCGTAGATGGCACTCAACCTAATAAATGAAAATAAACACAAGATGGGTCCCGGGGGGGGGGAATTGTTGTCACGACTTCCAAATGTCTTTGGCGATGGATATCTTGAAATCTAGATCTGTCAGTTGCATTTCCTTTAAATTATGCATGTTTTCCAGAAGCTGCTTCTTCAATATTGGCTTGAAATTGCCCGAAATGGATAAGTGCTTTGAAGGTTTGTGTTGTGTCAACTTGTTCACCACCCTGCTAAATAATTTAACTTTTTTCAACCAAATTTTTACTCAAACTTCACGTTCCCTGGCCTCTTCATTGGGTGCATGAAATCTGGTGCTTTTTTGAAGGGTTGGAACATACACCGTCTACTCTCACCTGGCAAAGCCTTGCGGTAGCTCCCCTAGGCCATACAATGGATACAGGTACGGGCTCTTCCCGTTTATAGGAACAGAGTCAAAGTACAGCTTTATCCTCTTCACGGTGTCTTCACATGGACTTTCAAAGTAACTGCAAAAATAGGAGAAAACGTAAAAACAAGATTTACGTACATGCATGTGGGCCCCAAATCTCTTATCTAACTGACATGGGGCAGCAGTACAGTAAGCGAAGAGAGAAAGTGTAGGCCAAGCCACAAAACTGCTATGACAGTACAACACTGGGGCTGCAGCATGTTTGAGCGCCGCGGGTTTGAATTCAATCCATCCACAGCAACTTACTCATCATCCGGGTGAAGAGCCATGGCGTGACCAATGAGATCGTGCAAGTTAAAGACGCCAAAGAGATTGAAGAAGTCTCCTGTTTTCATCCCTTTCACGTAGCCTTCCTTGGGCACCCCGTCCTCTTCCGTGTACTCCATCACACAGTTGATAAGATCCTGAAAGGGCCTCTTTTCTAACAAAGAAAGCGCAGCTATACGTACACAGGTGGAGGAACGAATAGGGCCAAACCAGAGAGAGGGAAAGAGAAAGAGGGGGAGGGGACGGGGAAGGGGGAGAGAGAGCTTTGTAAATCGTAATAGCGTTTTTATGGGAATGGTCAGACAGTTTCAAGAGGACAACCTGAAATATGCCTTTTGCGGGTTAAATGTGAATAAAATCTGGTACACGAACTGAGTCATCTGATTTTACATAAACATAACAATTTGAATTCCCCAGACCAGAGACACTGTTGCTATCCCCTCGTGTTTCGGGGCAAGCTTTTGCATAGCAACCACCATCTCACTGGTTCCTTATGCCCTTCTTATCCAGTGTATTGGTGTAAGGCGTCTCTTAAAAGCAAAAGCTTGCCCCGAATCACGAGGTGCAGCAACAGTGTCTTTAGTAGGGAGAATTGTTGTTCATGAGAATTTAAAGAACTCAGTGTGCCGGATTTTATTCAACTTTAACGGGTAAAAAGCTTATTCGTTCAGGGTTCCCTACAGAGAACAAACACGAACAACCTGCTGCCAGAATAAACCTGTCCATATCAGCAAACTCTGCCAATCCACATTTTACGATTGCTGAAATGTTTATTTGTTCTATAATTTACCTCATCTATCCTACAGGTGCCCCTCACTGAACAACGGGTTCCATGTGAAGAAAACTATGGGACAAAGAGAACCCCGCCTTTGTGTTGGTCATTGTTATACTGGTATCTCAGGAATTCTTTTCAGACATCTAGGGGGATGTGTTTTAAGTGACAATAGGTTGGAGTGTGTATAGTGTGTATAGGGATTGGACTTGTTGGGGGGTACCTTCTGTACCATTTCGTGCCTGGTATAACAGGTTCTGCAGTATACATAGCTTTTGGACTCTGAGCGGACTCTGGGGGAGCGGGATAGCGTAGCGGTTCTTTACTCGCTTTGCACCAATGAGGCCCGGGTTCGAGTCCCGGCTTGGCCCACGCAACGTTTGGTTTCCAGTCCATACTCGCTCTCGCAGGTTTCTTCCAGGTACTCCGGTTTCCCGCTGCCTCTAAGGCTGGACTTTCGTCCCCATTCAATAGGGGTCCCCATTAGAAACGAGTTGCAAAACTTTCAAGGGGCTATCCCTGGTGTCACTTAATTGTGATGGAAAAATCGACTAAATCCACAGCCTTTCTTAATGACTGGCCCGCAGGATGGCTAAACAGTGACAGTTACTGCCGAATCATCCATGATGCTTTCTTTGAATTTCAAACAAAGTCTTTATCCTCAATGTCAAGATATGCAACTTGACAACTATAGGTGTGGAGCCTGCACACAGGTTAAACATGCAATCTCACTGGGCACAAAATTCGAAAAGGCTCTCACAGAGAAAGCAGAAACATGCAAGACATGCAAAAAAAGCAACTAGGTAGTTGGTACTTGATGCTACACAAGATTTTTCATTTTCACTTTCCAAAGAGCAGTTAGTCAAATGGAAAGTAAACACCGATGTCAGCTGATGCCAGATAGAGGCACATGCATGGCCCGAGCAAGAATCCGACCCGCGAGGCTGCCACACTCACGAGATGCCATCACCTCCCTAGCAGACGCGGGAACGGGTGACAGTCTGCCCTTGTAGAACACGTAACTACCCTCGACTCTTTTCACCTCCAGGTACCTGGTCACACCAGAGAGTATCAACATTCGGACAAGGTCTCCTGCAACAGAACAGACGACAGGACGCATCAAATAGGTAGGGTGCACTTTGACAGCTTATGATCTCCAAGGTGCGAATGAAAGACTCGCACGGCCCTCTCAGGCAAACTTGAGTAACCCTTCATGCTAACATTGCTCTCTGAAATATTTACACATGGTAGAATGGTCCCAAACAAAATCATTTTCCGAGCATGAGGCCTGACCCAAACTTTCAAGCCTCTTCTCGTGGTCTCATTTTTCCGGCGTGCTAGGATTTCCGGAAGAACTCATCGGATAAATAAACACGTTGTCGCATCGTGCCCATGCGCACTCGAATGAAGACAGCCTCCCCTTCAGCCTGTACGCGTGCACTACACGTTCTTCGCGCTCGGCCGGGCAGCTTGCAAGACCCTCATAAGGCGCCCTCATTTGAAATCCTTTATTGTACAACGTGGTCGAGTTCGCTTGGCCTGTTCTTAACACGGGTTTCTTGTTCTCACGCTCGAACGGCGGGAACAAGACTCAAGAATACTGTTCTTGGAACAGGATCACACGCCACCTCCTCGTTTTGGTTTTACAGGAAACTCACGGAAAAACTCGTGAGATTTTGATTTTTGAACAGCTGCAAAAAGTAGAGAGATGGCTTCCAAAGCTATAGACCATGTAGACAATGGGAAGTTTTGCAAAATTAACACTAATTATTTTCCGAAACACAGAAACGAATGTTCCTGTTTATATAGAAAAGAATTCAGCCCATCCAAACCTTAACTCTCGAATAACGTACATGGACGCCGCCATGTTGCATGTGATAACCGGTTGTTTGTTCCTGGCGTTCGAGCGGCCGACTCACGAACAACAAATCGAGCTGTTCGTTAACATACGGGAACAAGCCTCCCGAACTCAGCTGTGTGTCCGTCACCAGTCAAGTCCGACTGGACGAATAAGCCAATCGGACTTCCCATCATAGTTATTCATAATTGCATATGAACGACATGACGTATACAAAACTTTCACCAATCAAAGTAGTTAGACTTGTGGACTCGTTCATTATAATGCAGGTATGGACGACCTTAAAAGAAGTCCGCCAATTTTATTGGCTGCTACCACTTTTGGTAGATGAGCGCATTCGCTGTGTACAAACAGTTGGCAGATTCGTCAAGTTAGGATTTCTGAACTGAACTCATAGTGTGGTGGACACAAGAGGGCGCGAATCAAATGACGGTGCTCGATCTCGGTACGTGTCCAAAGCAAAAACGAAGACGTCACAGAGATCCCGACTTGAGTACTGTTGCGCTCCCCTAATATCAGGACCATGGAAGCATGAACTTTTGTTATTGTCCCTATAGCATGTGATATTCAGGGCCAACGATTAAATGAGCGGGATACAAAGGGTTTGGGTGAAGTCAAACTGTATGGTTGGTTGTTGCTCTCACTTCTTTTCTATTATGAGTCTATTGCTTAAACAGCTCAAAGTGGTATCGAAGGAGGTGCAGCTTAACTAACGGTGTAACACATGATATGCAAAGTAATAGGGGCGAAGATGTATGTATCTAACCTACGGTTTGGCAGGACCATTGAGCAGTCCAGTCAGACAGAGTGAATATGGTACGGTACGGACTCATCGGGCGGGCCACCGCGACGACAACAGCTTGACAGGGCCACGGTATGTCGCACCGACCGCACTGCCGCTTAGAATGCGATGTGATGAGCGCTGTGATCGTATCGCCGCAAAATGCAACATTGGTTCAGCACAGGACCAGGGCAGCGGGGAACACGGGGTGTCTCGCCTGGCAAACGGTTCGGACCCAGCGATGACAGACCGCTACGATGCTTTACAACAGTCATTGGCACTCTGGGCTGGTTCACACAGCACTCGCATGGGTCCCAGCCAAGATAGCCGCACGCGTATATAGTTTTGCTTCACCATAAGAATGGAATTCAGCAGTGATGTAGTCGAGTACTTTTTGAGAACCAAGTTCTCAAACAAAGCTGAAGTACATCGGCATTTGATGGTACATGCATAAAGGTAAGATTGCAAAGCAACATCATGACTTCAGACCATCACTGTTTGATTAAAATTAACTTTTTATGACAAAAGTACTCAGAAAGTACTCGGCCGAGTACTTTCCGAGTACTTTTCTCCGAGTACTTTTCTCCTTAAAACTTAAATTTTACACAACTGGGAGTGTCTGAAGTCTAACATTTATTTTGTAATCTTACCTTTGCACATTTACCATCAAATACCTGTGCACTCTGGCTTTATTCCCTCTTACCCAGTTCAGTATTCTGCGGAGAACGTTGGTACTCGAAAGTACTCGACTACAACACTGGAATTCAGAAGGGTCCAACCGCTGCATTGCGTTAGATTTTGCTCGGCACAGCATGGGTTTGGCCAGACCGATGAGATAGGCGTAATTATAGGATTCTTGAGGTTCATAAATATGAGAGTCGTTCAAGTATGGTGTACTCTTTACGACACAAAAACATACATTACCATTCAGACCCACATGGCACTGCCTCTGATATCTACGACTGAAGGTGCCTTATTATGTACGTTTTGGGGTGAGTTGCGTACACGATGCGTTCATGCGTTTCACACGGACACAGAAATCGACACCATTAACACAAACACACTTGTACACTGCGTTTGGCCGAAGTCGCCCTGGGAACAATTTGGACAGATACGCAACGCTTGGCGCAAGTGTTAACGTGCCCATGGACAGGCTCCTTGAAGACGAACACGTGGACTGCGGGGCAGGATATTGGGCAGGCTTGTATGGACAATTACCTGTGCTACCTACCACTGCCCATGAAGAACTTGGGGATGAGGTCTACGTTCCAGTCCCTGCCTCTTCCGTAGGATTCGTCAAATGCACTCTGCGGCTTGCCGTACCTCGCGAACAGCTGTACAGTAGGAGAACACACCCTATCAATAGGCTTTATGTCGTTCCCCGAACCTTTCATATTCGGTGTAGTATTGGAAACCTCACTTTCCTTTTATTTTAAACGTTGCTTTTATAACATTTCAATTGAAATCTATTTAAAGTTTGAATAATTCTAAACAAAAACTGCATGAATTGATATTGAAATTTTATTTTCTTACGGTTATTTGTGACCTGTCACCACAAAATGTATTGAAAGTCGGAATTTTCAAAAACTGAGATATTGGTATTTTTTTTAGATTCAGCAGAAAGAGAGCTTTCTAATGGCATGTACATGGAACATTTGTACATGGAACGTATAACGTGACATTGTGACATTATTCTGGCAGCTTTGCGTCTTTGTTCCCGACATTGTTTTTACATTCAAGACCAGGCGCATATGTACATCGTGCCAGGCACGATGGGCCAGAAAGAGTGCAGAAAACTTTCCTGCTTAAATCCCTGCACAAAGCCCAAGGTCTCCACAGACAAATTTTCACAAAATTTTCTGTTTACTACTTTTCCTCAGTGACATTTCCCCCATCCCACATCCTAAAATGAACCACGGCACTAAAGGAATCCATCATCTCTAGATAAAATTTCAACGACGAAAAAAAACCAGTCTTGCAGTGCTTTTCATGTTTGTCTTCTATGCAGGTCCTTTTGGTGCACTCGTACTTTGCACCCATCTGTTAAAACTCTCTCAAGACTTCCTCTTTGACGTATGACCCTCATTTTTACTTCCCGACTACGTTAGGCCCAGAAAGTCTCTGGTTTCTGGTCAGCGCGACGTAGACCTGCGCGTTGGCAAAATAAAGAGGTTTTCTTGTATAACGATGCCCTAACGATGCTTAATTTGACTGGAATCCTGCTACTGCGCAATTTTAACGTGTTTTCAATGAGGCATGGTTGAGTAATATGTACAGTAAAGGACTGAGTACCTCTAGTTCCCCATACATTTAGTTGGGCACTTTTTCAGATGACATCATTTCTGTATTATACATTTACATCTGGGAACCAGACAAACGAGGTGGTCTTGTTTCTGTATACAAGCTGAAAACGCCTTTAAACAGTAAAAAGTGCGGGGCCAGTCTATTCTAGCGTTGGTAGCGGCTGGCGTTAGAGAGCATGCAGTCACGATGGACTTTTCGCACGTTATACTTACATCATTTCCAGAAAGCATGTGAGGGTAATAACAACAAGCCGCGTCACCACTGTTGGAGTTAGCTCCTGACCAGAAACCGGAGACTTTTGGACCTTACAATCCTACCTGTGCAGGAAGACACTTTCTGTCGTATGCATTTTTAGACAGAAATAGAATAAACGCAGCCAAAGTTTGTTTTCACTTACATCTTCAAGCGGTGTTATAGATGCGCTCTCGCCACCATAGTACGTTTTTTTGTCCATGTGAAGCACTTTCTTTCCCGACACAGACAGCAGTCCACCGATGATACATTCCTGACAAACAAAACAGGGCAATTTTTTTTACGCCTACACAGAAAGAAATTCATGCTGACGGAAATGAGGCTTCGCAACTTCAATGGATAGGAGACGCCACGTGATCAGATAGCCAATCATAAGATTAGGTACGCAAAAACTGTCAAAACGATCTAAAACTGACGTGTGGAGCAATAATTTTGTCACATTATTTTAATACTTCTCGTACACGCTGTTAACTGACATTTGCATTAATCCTAGCTAATATTTCAAACTTTGGCTGATCTAGATAGTTGTTCTGTTCAACAACTTCCAAAGTGAACATGTATTGAAATTTGATAATGGTCGTAGCGTAAAACACTCTGGCACCTGGATACGAGAGAGTTTAATAATCCCTACTGGCCTACAGAGCGCGTCACAGGCTTGGGCGGATTTCCAATACTCAATTTTGGCTCCGTCTCAGGCTTCACCTGTTTTTTTAACTAGCTGACTTTGAAGCTGTAAGCGCAGTAATTAGTCTAACAGTGCCAGAAAACATTAAATAAGATGCAAGAGAGCCAGAAATTACAGTAATCCAATTTATTTTAAACGCTTCAGGCCCACAATCGGGGATTGGTTTTGGGAACGAAGCCTGAGACGGAGCCCAAGTCGAGTATTGGAAAGGGCCCTAATTGAAGTCAACCGACCTTCGCTCATACATGTAAATTATTAGTTATGTGTACATGCGCATAAATAACGCTGAGACACAAAGCTTGAGCAGTCAGTTGAAACTGTACAGAGGCACAAATTTCAAAGCCATTTATCTCAGCTTCTGCACATTTTTTACATTTGTCTTCAAAAAGCCCATTATCATGGCGTTCTATAACCGCCAAATTCGCGTCGTACCGTCGCCCGACGCCATGACGCAACGCTACGACGGTTCTGTTGCGTCGTTGGATCACGTCGTGATGCCACTTTTTTTCTCATTACATGTACTTTAATGCTGTATTTAATGCGTTGCGTCGTGTCGTCGTGGCGTTGCATCGTGCCATCCTGCCATATTGTATGCAGCCCTGTTCATGATGCCGTCACGTCGTGCGAGCGCGTCTAGCCGTCAATAGGTTCTAAGGTTTTGCTTTCCTTGAGTTTTTAAGAATTAAATCTCCAAAATTCAAAGATTGTTCTAAAAATGTTTTAGCCAAACAAAACTCATAATGGAGGGCGCTATAACCAATTCATTTTGGGTCTGTCAACTGTAACCTTGCTTCTACAAGAGCAACTTTTCGATAATTGTGCATATATGTATTATTATTCAGGCCATAACCAACCTACTATTGTGTGAAATGGCCTTCAACACGCCACCTATGCTTATCAACCCTTCGTTAGTGCATAACAGCATGGGAAAAAGTTCATGCAAAAAAGTAGAACTTATGTGGTAAAAAGAGGGCTGTATTTTACTACATAAGTTTTTCTGACATGTCCTGCAAACCTTACGTTGCGTTTTGAAACTTTTTTGCGGCCAAAGCATGTGCAAAGTAGAAAACGTCACCGAGAAACTGGGAATCCGTTCATGGTGGACGCCGTGTTAGACATTTGGACATGCAGTCTATATTTTGTGGTCACAACGAATGGTGTCAAAAGTGACATCTAAATTTAATTTGTCGGAAATCTGTCGTTACTCGAGTGACTTCAAATTTCAGGACTCCCCCGTAGTTAGTTCGGTCAACTTTAGTTTGCAAATGAAAGTCGGTTATTAGGCCTACTCTAGTGTTACATGAATGATAAAGGCCCAGGGCTAGCCCTAATTTTCTTTGCAAATTTCATGCTTTTGCCGAAAAATAAATATTGAAAACCTTAGAAAAAGAGGATCTATGAAAAATGTATAACCATGGGCATTTATACCGCTTCTCATCTGACCATCCCACCCCTCCCATCAGCAGTACCCCAGGGACTGCATCAGCATGATCAGGATGCATGATCTCCAACAACTTTGCAAACCATGAACTTGAAATAAACGGAGGATTTGCATTTTACCGCAGTATTTTTGTATTTTTCTGTGGTCTGATAAACAATTCCACACCCACAACACGGCAAAAACTGGACAGATTTACGGAACAAAATCCAAAATTTTTAAATGGTCTTATTTCCTACCGCGGCTCTGTGGTTACGACGTTGCAAAGATAATGGTAACCAAACCTGCAAGAAAGTCCGAAAAACAGCTACTGCACATGTGCCCGCGAAATATCGTCTAGTAGTATAAATTTGCTGGTACCGGATAAATCATGGAGGTAGGAACAATGCCAAACAAAATTGGTTGAAATCTTGCAGGGAAATATTTCACAGACTTTACCTTAATCCCTGTGCCCAAAATAATCGCGTCGTACTCTTCATCCATCGTGAGAAAGGATCTAGTTCAGCTCTTGTCAAAGAGGTGAAGCAAAAACAGCTTTGTTCGAGGAAAAGGGCACTTTCCCACTTCCTGGTTCACGCTGTAGAATCCTAGAGGGCTGTTTCAAATCCCTGATGTCCCCTACCTTCGCTGTGGAATTGATAAAAAAGTTGTTTGGTTTTATTTCTGAGTAACCCTAACTAAAGAAAGATATTGGTATTAGGATTAGTGAGACCGTTACACAGACCGAACTTCTCCAGGTTACTGTTAATTAACGAGGCAATTAGCGTGTAGATTTCTCCACAATGCCATGAATGCACAGTAGTAACTGAAATATTTTGACACGACATTCGCTCATTGCACGCTCCTGCCACAGGTATGCAGAGCCTCGATCTGAGAAATATGGAAGGGCTGCATAGCACCGTGATCAGGATATCGACAAGAATATAATATCAAATCAGTGCTCTGAAATAAGTGATTGTCGAGCTTTCGGTAACTGAATACCTTCTTCAGGGCAAGTGGATTCAGTTTACAGATCAGTTCAGCTGAATCTGCTTGCCGTGAGGAAGGTACTCAGTTACCGAAAGCTCGACAATCACGTTTTTCAGAGCACTGATTTGATATTATATTCAGAGCCTCGATCTGGTAGCTTGTAGAATCGTGTCAGAATCACGTCAACGCAGCTTTTCAACTATTGTCCAATGGCATGGTACAAGAGCTGACACAGCACGCGGAGAATTACTAAGCAACATCACAGGAATCACTGAGCCTGCTTGCACGGTGTGAAGATCGAGATCGAGGCCCTGCATGCCTATGGTGGCAGCGAGCACAGAGCGAACTGGGCGCTCGGTGATTTCGCGGCATCAAATTATAGATGGCGCTTTGCACGATAACAGACTTGTTTCCGTACCCCACGCAATCTCCAGATCGCCGTACATCACAGTAGTGGGGTCACATTGCTACAAAACGTACTTGACCTTCACGTGGGTTTGTATGGATTTGCACGTAAGCCTATTGCCATATGGTCTTGCATGTAGTTTGGATGATGAATATTCATGATCATAATCAAATACTCCGATTGTATGGGGGCATTTCATTGTACATGTGGTTTGCATTTGGCCTTGTTAATTGAATAAAAGTACTGATTACGTGGACGAATCATTTAAATTTCTTACTGCATGTGGTTATGCATTAGTATTCATTTTCCAATACAGTAGTAACAATACAAATATTGCTTTTTGTCAGTGTTTCCAAACTCGTGCGAATTACTGGGGAAAGTCATATAAATCAATTTGGCTTGATGTATTTATTTCTTGGTATGAAAGAAAACTTAAAATTACCAAAACTCAGAAACGACCTTGGATTTTTAAGCTTATACATGTCTACGCTGCGAGCGATAGCAGGTTGTAACTTTGATGAACTGTCCTCTGGGCTGGATTTCAGCCATAGAGTAGAGGCTGCTCATAGGGGTGTGAGAGCTTAATGAACAGAAAAGTGCAGGATGTTTACACTATTCGTGGATTGACAAACAACGTGCAGCTGCATGAACTTCAAAAGTTCTGCTGAACAAACGGTAGGAAACTATATGTCGTTTATTTTTCCCTTTTTTGCGGAAAATGACTTTGAAAATGGAACTTCGGGCACCTGTGTTTCAACAACTGACTTAGCCGTACTTGCTACATCTGACTCTGACTTTATGGGTGTATCTGTATATGTATGGTCTTGCATAGGGCCTAAATCTGGAATCATGCATTTTCATGATCACATCGTAACCAGGTACTCGCAATGCTTGGAAGTATTTTACTGTGCATATTGTTTGCATTTGGCATTATTAATTCATATGAAAGTACTGGTACATGGAGTCCGATGAAGCAGCAAGTACCACAAACTGTGGTATGCGTCTGGTGTGTTTTAATATGCATCGAGGGTAAATGAAAACAAAGGGATCCCAATAAACAAGTAAAATTAATGGACATCGGGGATAAATGGAGAAATATTCATCGGGGAGAAACGAACAAGTTGGCGTCAGGGACAAGTGAAGAAATAGGCATCGAGATAGATGAAGAAAAGCACCCAGGATAATTGGATAAAGATGCGCTCAAATACCATGTACAGTGAGAAGTTAGGTTTTGTTTCCCATCAAAACTGGCGAAAGGGAACATGCACGTGCCCAGACCCTTCCTCTGGATTCAACTGTAAATGTTCTTCAGAGATTGAATACGTGCAAGTATAAGCTATCAAGTTAGTAATTTTCATATCAGACCTCAAAATTGTTTATGATTTGAGCATTTCTAGCATCCCTGTGAAACGTGGTGTACGCTGCCACCTGAAATGGATTACATCGCTGCTTCTCTTTGTGAACTATGAGAAATAAAAGGGCCGAAGCCGAGTAACTGTCCACTCGGTTTGTCAAGGCAATTTGCAAATGATTGCTATAAGTCTGAAAGTCTAAAGCTGACAAACAAATCCAAGGGTTGCTTGATTCCTTTAGCCTGTAAACTATAACACTTCCCTCTCTATACATTTGAAAGTTCAACTTAACTGGACATGTGTGGGATATAGTGCTTTTAAAGGGTCTACCTTTATTAAACGTCACGTGACTTGTCATATGATGAAGTCATGTTCAGATGATGTCAATTTTTGTCTATAGCACTTCCCTTTCCAGAAACCTCCAAAGATTCAACCCAATGACCTGTACTTTAAATGACACACCTATGTATCAACTCAATGGGTCATGGACGTCAGGAAATATTGAGCTTCAAAGGATGCACTTTAATGTCACGTGACGCGTCTTTTGATGATGTCATAACCTCATGATATCAGTGTTAATATACAACACGTCCACTTCTAGGTACCTACAAATTTTCACTCCAATCAGACATGTACTCGAGGAGATATAAGGCTTTAAGTCAGGCACCTATAATGTCAAATGACTTTTCACTTGATGACGTCGTCATCTAATGGTATAGATTTTGTCTATAGCATTTCCCACCCAGCTATCTGCAAAATTACATCCAAATTGGACATGTACTTTAGGAGATATGGGGATTTGTAAGATACATCTTTAATGTCACATCTTCTGATCACATCATCATCTAGAGATGTTACCTTTTGTCTGTAACATGCTTTCTTGTGTAGGGACACGACACATTACGAGAACAATGTGCAGCACACCACAACTTAAGGTATAAATTGAGGGGGGGGTCGACATGATTATTTGTAACACCTACCTCTTCGTCGTTGGGTCGTATTCCTACGAGTTAATTTAGGAGAGCACGCCCTCAACATTATACACAACATTAGAATAAGCTGGTAATCCTGATACATCCATTTATGAATCACTATAATTTTTGAAAACTTATTTTCATGAGATTACTCCTTACAAAGCATTGATATTGATTGTATTGTTTATCTTGTCCTTATTGATAGGGTTTTCCGGACCTGCAAATAATGTACAATGAAATAAAGAGTCGTTGTCGTCATCTTCATCAGCAGCCGCATTATCATCGTCTTGACAAACACTTTTCTTTAAGTCAACAGTCTTACACTGTAATGTCGGACGTATGCGCTAGTATTTTACTGAATTCACTTAATTCCACTGGATTTGTACCTCTAATGACGAGGATTGGTCGTTTTAGAAAAATATAGTTCACGTGGAAAACGCTATCTCGTAACTTACTACACGAAATAAATATTGTACCTGCATACGTCATATATCATCATGCTCAAAGCCTGGCTGAACGAGTAAAAGGTATCAATTGTCTCAAAATATGTATAATCTTAAGTTTTAAAAACGAAAGCATATTTCCTTGCTGGGGTGCACCTTTTAGCAGACTTCTTGTAAGATATAACTTTCACCCAGCAACAGTATCGCAAGTGACACTGCCGTCCGGATTTGAGTCCCACTACTAGTCTCTTCAGGGATTTCAGGGTAAGCCTCCAAAGCAAGATCACGGACTGCTAGGTCCAACTCCTGTAGAGTTTCTTTAAGTCCATGCCGCCTGTTTTTCAACTCAACAAGATAATTTGGGGCCAGCTGACCACTGGTCCGGACCTCTTCTCCTACACCTTCATAAGCTCACTTTAAGTGAAACTTTTTGAACCACCACCAAGACTTCGCAGGGCATCACTCAGCTGAAGACTAGCAGCCAGACATTCCACTGCCCTCTCCTCACCCTACACATTCACCAAGTTCTTGTATATCTTAAAATGTTGCTAATAATTGCTAAACAGAACTTAACTTGTCACAAGTTATCCTCACAGGACATGTCAATGAAGTTTACTGGTAAAATTTTCGCAAGAATTTCTTGATATATATTCCTTTCTACAAACATATAAAAATTACAACAAATCGATCCTAAGCATTCCACTTCCGACACAGTTTGTATTGGAAACTGACACCTTTTGTGGCGGACCCAGTAGACCAGCTTGATCGGAGATCGGAGTTAGACCTGGCCTTACCTCACAAGGATGAGCGGCTACCCAGACACAAGGTGAATATCAGCTAACGAACGGTGGACTAAGGCTAGTAGTTCGCGAGGTGAAAGTTTACAGGATAAATCTGGCAATAGGGCAATTGAATAGAGGAAATCTCTTAAAAATCATCCTCAAAGTGACGCAGGATTTCCAAGAATAATTAAACAAGTAATTGTTTCGTTGTATTGCATTGTAAATGTTTATTGTAAATGAGGTATATGGATAACAAAAAGTTTATTTACACAATATACCCCAACAGGTAATGCAATATGCCTCTTGTGGTAAACCTAACCACCCGACTAGCTTTAAAACAGCAATCTATAGGCCTAACCAAGAGATGCCTCATACCAGCAAGTAGCGAAAGGGGTAATTACCAGCCCTAGCTCATAGAGAACTTAAATTTGCAGAAGTAATCCTCGAGGCCAGCTAGCACAAAGATAATAGGATTGCCTTCAATCGTCACTCCACTAATGGTGTTTACGGACAACAAGCAATCCAACATCACTAGCTCGCACCCTAGGCTCACAACCTACTCCCAGCTCTATTTTTTATCTAATTCAGATCCCATCACGGCTTGCTGCTACACCTACCAGTTGTCGCAGTGTGTCCGGGCCGCACGCAGTGCTCCACAAAGTGTCTAGCGATGTTACCGCCACTCGACCTTCCAGCGATCTAACCGTGCGCGCCCTAAGACACGCCACAAGCGCTCCGCAACGTTGCCCAGACCTTGCATTGCACGCGCCGCTGATTGGCCAATGCAGGCATTAACAACTATTCGAATAAATACCTATTCATAAATACCTGGGACAGTTTTTCTATTCCTATTAGCAGAAACGCATCACGTGACCGTGTATTGACATTTGATAATGCCCGCCAAGAATCGATAATGCCTGCTTCGTAAAGCACGCGCTGGCACATGAATACGAGGCAGTTTAATCGGGTCTGATTGGTCAGGAGTCCGTGTGCATGTAGTCTCGGGCCAAGACGGCAGACCTCGATAGCCGACTTGATCGAGCATATGCCACGCGCCGATTTCTATTGCGCCCTCTCGTGATTTCATTTCACCAATCGACGGCTCGTTCTACCGTCTTGAGAATCTCCCACAACTGAGGCGTGGCCTTTGTATGCAAAATAGTAGTTTAATATAAACATTCACAATCGACCCTAGGATGCAAAATAGGATACAAAACAGACCGTGAGATCATTGGAGCGAGTTCGCATCAACAGCCTCAACTTGTTATTTCTTCAGTTTTGCTGTAGGAAGTCTTTTACAGGCTTACTTCTTCGCTCCTTGTTCAAATGCATAAACCTTCTTCTTCTTAGTACTGCAAACAAACTCCTCAAACGGGATATACTGTTGTAGGTGTGTCGTAGCCAGTGTATACTAATCGTGGGCTCCCCTGATAAAAGTAGTTAGACCGCGGTCATATCAACGATGAGAGTATAGGTACTTTAGTAGTACGTTTAGCCTTGCGTAGTGATTGTGTATGTACATTATATCGCGTGATAGGTCATGTGATGCAGGTCATTGATCCATATTCATCACATACAGACTCAACATTTATCCTTTAATGAAATAGACTGGCACTAATACATACTTCTGTTTCATTACACACGGAAGACTGGTTCCCGTCCAGTCACAGTAGAAATAGTTTAATTATGCAACCACATTCCCATAGGTACGATTTTGCTGCGCCACGTTGGTTCCCCGTGAATCTCGTAAACAGCCCATCATAGAGTCGGGGTTTCCGATGACGCAGTGCATCGTACGTCATTGGACTGATCACCGTCCCTATTATATACTTTCGAAGCTAGGACTGGGACAGAAACCAGTCTTCTATCTCAACGGAAATGCGCTACAATCTGCAGCAGCCTCAGATGTGCAGGGAGAGAAGAGAAGGTAGAGAGAAGCAGGAAGGTCTGAATTTTGCCAAAAGTAGCTTGTACATGGTCCAAAACCATCGAGCATGTTATAATAGTTTTGATGACTTTTGAGTGAGGATTTGATTGACAAAGCGCAGTTTCAGGCAAAATACATGTGGGCATATTCAAAATTCTTCAGCGTTACAAACCTGAAAATATCAGGACCTGTCACACGGAGCGTGGCTTACAGTTGGGAGTATGCAGCGCCCATATATGCACTGGTGCAATGATGGTAGTCTGGATACTAGACCCGATGATTCCGACTATGTTCGTCGAATCAAGGGTTGAGTATCGCCCCAGCCCCAGACTGGGGCGCAGCCAGTCTACAGGAATCCCTCCTTATAATCCTCCAAAGCTACGGAGGTAGTCCAGTTAGACTAGCCCCAACTAGTCTGAGACGATAGAATCACCAATTGTCCACGTTACTAAAACCTGAGGAATTCCTCCATTTTCCAAAAACATCCGAAATATTCCGCCCGCAGGCTGAATTAAAAACAGCTTACACAAGATATTAAAATGACAAAGACTGTAATACATAACGTTAATATACGTGTAATATTCCCATAGAAATTGTTGAATAAAAAAATGCAATAGCTGTGCTCGTAAAAAAATTTAAAAATAAAAAATAATAAAATAAAAAATAAAAGAAATACAGCCCAAACGGATTGCACTATCATAGCACGAAAAGCCAAATAACCAGGAATGGACAACAAGAGGATAAAAAACACATACACCACCTAGAAGCCAACAAACCAAAACCTACCGACCAATAAACACATACATACAAAGAGACTGTCAAAAACGGGATGGGGGTTATAATTACGCCAACATATCAATTTTTAAGGCGAAAATCATTTGGGGTTTTTTGGGTTTTTTTTACTTAGAGTAGAGATTCATTCACGCATTAAAGTTAAGGACTTTCTACAGCCGCTGTACATGTTACAAATGAATGCATTCGAAGGTTTTCATGACAGTAGAGTTTTCCGCGAGAACTTTTGTAGATTTGTTTTGAGAATTTTTCGCGCCTTTCGTCTAGCGTCTTTGTAACCGTGTGGTGGGTGCAGTGTGCGTAGAACTATTGCGAACGGTGCCAGTGTGGGTGCAGCACTCTACTTCGTAACGACGGTATTCCATGTCAAAATTTCCAATCCGACTGAACGCCTCTTTACTCGCAAACATGTCTCCTACCACAGTGAAAATTTGTGATTAATTTATTAACAGATTAACAGATCTACAATTTTTACACAACTACACGATCGGTACAGGACATATCACAGCACTGGGGTCAAATTGCTTCAAAACGTACTTGACGTTCACGTGGGCGTACATGTATGGGTTCGCACGTAAGCCTATAGCCATTTGGTCTTGCAGGCATTTTGGATGATGAATATTCATGATCATTGTAATCAAATACACTGATTGTATGGAAGCATTTCATTGTGCATATTATGGTTTGCATCTGGCAGTTTTAATTCAAATAAACGTACTGGCACGTGGAATAATTATTCGTATTTCTTACTCTATGCGGTCATGCGTAATTATTCATATTCCAATTACAATTAAATGCACTAACTCTACTTTTTGTCAACGTTTCTAAACTTGTATGAATGACTGAGGAAACTCAAAAAAACTGATTTAGCCTGAGATATTTCTCTGTATGCAATAAAAAGTTTAATTGCCCTACTCAGAAACGACCTTGCATTTTTAGGTTTATACATTTCGATAGCAGGTTGTAACTTTAATGAACTGTCCTCTGGGCTGGATTTCAGCCATTGAATATAGGCAGCTCATAGGGGTGTGAGAGCTTAATGAACAGAAAAGTGCAGGATGTTGCTCTTTTCGCAAAAAAAAATACATCTCACCAAACATTGATTCACACACTGTTTACACTATTCATGGATTGAACAAACACACGTGCAGCTGCATGGACTTCAAAAGTTCTGCTGAAAAAATGTTAAGAAACTTGACAGTGTCGTTTATTTTTCATTTTTTGCGGAACAAGACTTTGAAATGGACCCTCGGGCACCTGTATTTACAACTGACTTAGCTGTACTTGCTGCTACATCTGACTCTGACTTTTATGGGATATGGTCTTGCATAAATTTGGAATCATGCATTTTTATGATCGCACTCGTAATTCTTATACTCTCAATACTTCTAAGCATTATATTGTGCATATTGTTTGCATTTGGCATTATTAATTCATATGAAAGTACTGGTACATGGAGTCCGTTGTAGCAGCAAGTGCCACAAACCGTGGTATGCGTCTGGTGTGTTTTAATATGCATCGAGGATAAATGGAGAAATAGGTATCCCAATAAATGAATATTACGGGCATCGGGGATGAATGGAGAAATAGGCATCGGGGAGAAATGAATAAGTAGGCATCGAGATCAATGAAGAAAAGAACCCACGGGTAATTTGATAAAAATGCACTTAACATGTAAAGTGATTCTATTCTCTGCTAAGTTTCGTCCCAATCAATGTACTTGAGGAGAAACTTGAGGCACCTATATATGATGTCAAGTGACTTGTCACCTGATGACGTCGTCATCTCGTGATATAGATTTTTGTCTATAGCATTTCCTTTCTAGCTATGTGCAAAGTTACATCCAAATTGGACATGTACTTCAGGAGATATGGGGATTTGTAAGATGCATCTTTAATGTCACATCTTCTGATCGCATCGTCATCCAGAGATGTTAACTTTTGTCTGTAGCATGCTTTCTTGTGTAGGCCTCGGGGCACGACACATTACGAGCATGATGTGCAGCACACCCAAACTTAAAGGTAGTGTATAGACTTCAATTTGTCAAAATTGACCGATTTGGGGGGTTGTGAATTACTTTGTCTTTCGTTCCCCATATTTGATCCATTTATTGAGATCACTGCTTTGAGAAACATCGAGGAAAACGCAGTTTATTTTTAACTCTCGAAGCTCAGCTCGTGTAACTTGTTTCACAAAAATCCATGGGCCACAGGAAGTTCCTGAGTGTCTGTACAATACACAGGCGAGGTCGATCTGCACACCGATTATGGCCCTCAAAAGGGCATTTGTCCATGGTTTGGCGTAGTATTAGTTGTTGGCAAATTTCCCTTCAAGTTTTTGTTTCCTCTTCAACCATGAAACGCTCAGAATCTATCGAATAAACAACGTTTCATCGGACGGTGAAGTGACCGCACTCATCACAGTCACTGCGCGATAACACATACCACACGTGTACATGTACATTACGCCTGTGTATGTATACACGTGCAGGGTGCACCCTCGCAAGAAGGCTTTAAGTATGTCCGCCGAGCTCATGAATAAAAGTTATATACTCAAAATATTCTATATTAGAGAGTCCTGAGAGCCATGAAATTGAGGAATTAGAGAAATATGGCGATGAACCCCTGGCCCGGACTTTGGGCTTCAAATTCAGAGCAATTTGGATGCAGTCGGGTCCGAAAATGGCACTATTTGGCCGTTTTGCAGAGGGATGGTTTTTCAAAATGGCTACTTTTCTGGGCAGGGACATTTTCTTCATTTTAGGGGTGAAAATTTCTCAAAAATTCATTGGTCAACCCCCCTGAAAATTGAAAGGAAAATTAAAGGGGACATGTCGATCATCGTATTTCTCTGCAGCCTGGACACCTGTGAGAGTTGTGAGTATTTTTAAAATAATTGCAAAGTGTGGGGATTTATCATCGCTGTCTATGGGGATTTATTTGTAGTGGTACATGGTGCACCCTGCACGATCGACCACACGATCATTGTTCGCTCTCCACACGTAACTACTTTCGTCGGTAAAAACCGTCACACATCGATCGTCACTGCCCGGCCTATCATAAACACTTCATAAATAAACAAGAATGGTAAATATCCTTGCATTTTGGGCATGAGAGTTACTGTTACTGGAAAAACAGAAAGCTACGTGTCTCGAAATTGGAGATTTAATTCGAGAAAACCAGGCTTCGGTAGGGGGCTCCAAAATTGGATCATGGACCATTATCTAAAGGGTGATAGTGAGATGGTTATATTCACGTGAGGTAAACTTCCACAGTTTTATAAAGAAACTTTAATTTCAACAAGTCTAGTCGCCTTTTGCGTTTTAGTTATGGTTTATACGTATCTATTTATTTTCTTAATAGGGTTGATAGACATGGGTTTATGATCTGAGGGGAGAAACGGTTCTTTCTAAAGTTTGGAAAACTTCCGATCAATTGTCACGTAATGGGTGACACATGTATGATATTGCGCAATACCGACTACATTTGTGTGTGGGGGGGGGCAAAGTCACTCCTTGTATTCTGTATGTACAACGTAAGAGGTCATGTACAGGTGTGTATGTCGCGCGTGCACTAAAGGG